CACCCACAGCCTCTTCCCTGACCAGGTACACTTGGCTCTGGTGCTAACCAGATCCTGCCTGGCTTCCCTCCTCAATGGCGTTCATGTGGGCTGACGGGATTGAGGTGGAGGCAGAAGTAGAGTCCTTGACCTGTCTGTTTTGACATGTGCAGAGGAAATAAGTCAGTGGAACAAGGTTAGCTCACATAAGGCAAAGAGGAAAGAGGAGACAAAGAAATTTGGGGAAAGGAAGCAGAGTGCAAACCACTCCACACAGCTCTTTTGGACTCCAGCCCCAGGAACCGCTCACATTTAGGATCTACAGAAAAGGAGAAACCATTATGGAAAACAGCATGGAGGTGCCTCAAAAAACTAAAAATAGAGTCACCAGTGGCTCACACTAATTCTAGCTACTTGAGAGGCTGAAATCAGGAAGGAGGTTCAAAACCAGCTGGGACAAATATTTTGCAAGACTCTATCTCCAAAATAACCAGAGCAAAATGGACTGGAGGTGGTAAGAACACCTGCTTTGAAAGCACGAAGCCCTGAAATCAAACCCCAGTCCAACCAAGAACAAACAAACAAACAAAACTCTAGAAATAGGGCTGGGGAATTGTATTTGCCTGGCATGCACCTGGGTTCATACACACACACACACACACACACACACACACACACTTAAAATAGAACTACCATATGATCTAGCAATCCTACCACTGGGTATGAATCCAAAGGAAGTGAAATTACTGTCAAAGAGACATCTGTAGGACTACCTTTGTTACAGCACTAAGAAATGGAAACTAAGTGTCCATCAGCTGATGAATGTGTTACATACACACCATGGAATCCCATCCACCTAGAAAAATGGATGGTATCCTGTCATGATATTCTGACAACATGGAAGGAGCTGAAGGTCATTATGCTAAGTGAAATAAGCCAGACACAGAATGACACGTAAAGCACGATCTCAGTCCATACGTGAGATGTAAAAAAGTGAATCTTAGAAAAGTGGAGAGTAGAATGGTGATTACTGGAGGCTGGGGAGAGTGTTGAGGTGGGGGTGGGGCTGGGAGGGCTTGATCAACATGTACTAAGTCAGAGTTAGGAGAAATAAATTCGGTGTGCCATTGCACAGTTGGGGACTGGAGAGAATAATATGTACTATTTCCTAAAAGCTAGACAAAATGCTTTTCAATTGCTTTCACCACAGAGAAATGATAAATATTTGAAGAGATGTGCTTGCTGATTTGAACATTACCCAATGTGTACACGTATCAAAGCTTCACATAAATATGTACAATGTTATGTGGAAATTTAAAATAATGAATACGTAAACGTTTAAAGAGGAGAGAGGACAAGTGGAGAAAGGCTGTGAGCTCAGTTAGGCCTTTGTCAGCCTCCTGTACTCCTCACCCCTACCTCCCTCATGCAGGTCCCTTGTGGGGAAAGAGGGCAGAGGCCTGAAGACTCGCTCCAGGGAAGGGCAGGCCCAGGCTGGGGTTTCCTTGTGAAAGGTCAAGCCACACATGCTTCTTAGGGTCCTGGGGAACAAGAGTAAACATATACCTTATCTCCTTAAAGAGCTGGTGGATCTGGAATGTTCTATCTTAGATGGGAAGGGGTGATTCTTAATATCACTCCATGACCAACAGCCTTTAGAAAAGAGAAAAGGCCATGGGGGTTAGGGAGAGTAAACAACTTGAAGCTTGGGGCTGACAGGTGGCAGCTGGAGCAGTGTCAGTCCTATCCCCTTCCCCCAAGACTTTCCCAAAAGTGAGCCTGGCATTGCTGTCCTGTGACTTTCACCCCCTCCCCCATACACACCCACCTTTCCACCTCTAGCACCTATAACTTAGTCAAATTCTAACTGCTCTGCTTGCTCTCCCATTTTGGTTTTCTTTTGAGATCAAAGACTTTAGCAATCTCACAAATCCAACTGGCCACTCCCTTCTCCCATGACTGTGGGGAACAGGCCTCCCGCTGTGCAGGAGGGAAAGTGAAGACCACAGGGCCGGCTAGGAACCCCCTCTGCATCCCTCAATGAAGTCGATTCCCAGGATCCAATAAACTGGCCCCCCCTTTCCTCTTTCAACAAGTGTCGACCAAATGTCTGTCGTGTTTCAGGCACTGTGCGCTGCGCTGGGAGTCCCCGGGGTGAGACAAGCTATGCTCCTTTGACTTGACCTTGAATCTGAGGAGGTGGCAAACGGAAGGAGAAGGGCCTGGGGAGCAGCAGGGCCCGGAGTGGGAAGCCTCTGCTCCCAGCTCCACGAGGGCTTGTGGGGAACAGGCCTCCCGCTGTGCAGGAGGGAAAGTGAAGACCACAGGGCCGGCTAGGAACCCCCTCTGCATCCCTCAATGAAGTCGATTCCCAGGATCCAATAAACTGCCCCCCCTTTCTCTTTCAACAAGTGTCGACCAAATGTCTGTCGTGTTTCAGGCACTGTGCGCTGCGCTGGGAGTCCCCGGGGTGAGACAAGCTATGCTCCTTTGACTTGACCTTGAATCTGAGGAGGTGGCAAACGGAAGGAGAAGGGCCTGGGGAGCAGCAGGGCCCCGGAGGTGGGAAGCCTCTGCTCCCCAGCTCCACGGAGGGCTTACCCCGAGACAGAGCCAGTAGGGTGGAGCTGAGCATCTGAGCGGCTGCCCGGGCGAGGCCGCAGAAGCTGCCAGAGGGGAAGGGCACAGGTTTGTTGCAGTATTACCTCAATAGTCACCGGAGTGAGGGCTGGGGGTGCAGGGCAGATTCCCCCACTGCCCAAGGACTCAGGACCATGGAGCAGGAGCCTCAGTCCGCGCTAAGTAGGGATCCCCCCAAGACTATCAGAATGTACCCCTTTCTGGGTACTGGGAGGAAGGCCTGCTGCGGGAACGGTGGGATTAGGAGGGGCTCGAGGGGTGGGGAAGGCGGTGATTTCGGGGTGCTACCTCAGCTAGGGTGGCAGGGGGGATGGGGACTCCCTAGGAGGAGCCAAGAAAGAGATCCTCACCCCCTTCCTACACAACACGGGCATTAATTCTGTCCGGGGGAAGCCACCTTCCCGTCAGGATCAGAATACAGATCGGGTAGCGTTGTCTAGCCTGGGAATGCAGTCAGATCAATAACCAAACACCTCGAAATGAACATTGGGTCCAGGGGCTTCCCTGGCCCCGGGTTAAGCTCTCCTCCGAGTCTTCCGCCTGCTTCCTCCCCGGGTTCTCAGGCTGGGCTTTTCCCACTCCTCCGGGTCCCCCTGCTTCACACCCACAGATTTGTCTGCTCCGGGCCCAGGACCCATTCGAAGAGCACCCTTACCAGGATGCCACCATCCCTCCTGCCCCTCAGAACCAGCTCCCCACGCTGCACCCTCAGCCAAGGAGGGTAACCTGCTCATCAGTCCGGAGGCTCAAGTCACAGCCTCTTCCTCCTAAATACTCCCCACCTTGTCCCTCCTCGCCCTAGGCCCCACTTCAAGCCTGTCCCAGTGTGGAATGACACCCTTCTCCTCCCTTTCCTTCCAGGTAAGGAGAACCCCAAGAGAACAGAGGGGGCCTGTGGGGGGGGCTCCAAAATGAGAGAGCTTGGAGCAGGGGCAACTCCCGCTTGGGGGGATGTGGGATGTCAAGAATGGAGGGTGAGGATCTGAAAACTCCCTGCCAGACACCCCACCCAGAGGAGGTGGCGCTGTATAATGGGATTTCGCCCCCCTTCCCCCCCCACACACACCGCGGCACAGCGGCAGTGGAGGGCCAGCCTATTTCTTCATCTGCCATTCCCCCTGGCAGGCCAGCAGGCGCCGGCATCATGTCTGCTGTCTGCAAGTTATTGTAAGTCCGGCAGGGATGCCCAGGAGGGAGGCGCCTGTGGCCAGCGAGTGCCCACTCCGCTCCCAGGATGCGGCGGGCCCCTCCCGCGCCCTCCACACCCAGCTGGAAAAGAGCAATGGGCACCCACATGTGAGGTGGATGAGCGTGGGGCTGGACGCGCCTCGGGGAAGGATGCCAGCCTCTGCCTCAGCCTCCTCTGCCTCCGCCATGGGCGAGCCAAATATATGAGTGTGCGTGTAGCATAAGGACAATCCCAGCCTTAATATCTAGCCCTTCAGCACTGCCGCCCTGGGACCTTCTCAAAGGACACCCTCGACCCACCCCCACCAGCCCCACAATCTCCAGCCTTGAAACTGAAAACTTTTCAACTTCGCCCCCTTCTCCTTCCTCCCCTCTGGGACCAGAAATGCGTGGGGCGGTGCCCTCGGAGACACTCATACAGTTGGTTCTGGACGCTTACACACACTCGAACAACAGCGGTACCAGGGAACTCCCAGCTTTTTCCACAGCTAATTATAGACGTCAGAGTCTCAGGGTGTTTTGCAAGCGGCAGAGAAACTGCTGAGGTTTCTCTGCAAAGCCAAAGAAATTTAATTTGTGCACTCCTTATCCCCACCCCATCCCCACCTCATGTGTCCCCCTCCTAGGCCGCCTGGCTGCCCCTTCCAGCTGAAGATTTCTTACTTGGTCCTCTCTGTCTTATTTTTCTTCCCATCTCTCTTTGGGGCTTTCGAGAAAGCGAACAGACGCGGAAAATATTTTTGCAACAGTTTTCCATTCTGCGTTTCATTCCCAAGCCAAGGGGGAGGGGGAGGACAGGAACGGATGGGGTGCGGGGTGGGGGCGGGGGGAGGATAAATGCTTTTTCCAAGAGCTTAATTTGGGTGTGAAAAGACAGTCTTTCCATTTCCCTAGCCATTTCATGACCCGGGAATGACAAGAACTAGGAAAAGAAGCAGAAATCACTTGTTTGATTATATGGTTCTTGGGAAGTAAGGATAGAAAAGAAATACAGCAAATCTGTGCGCGCGCGCGCGGCGCACACACACACACACACACACACACACTGAACAACAACAACAACAAAAACCTCCAGACCCAGCCGAATGAAATATGCTAGGAAGAGGAAATTCAGGGAGTTTTTGGAAGCCATTGAGAGGAAAGAAAGAAACAAAGTTTGCAATCGCGGGTCAATTCATTCTCTGCAAGCCTACCTCTGTTTCTAGCACAGATCCGGGTTTCTCCAAGCGGGACTCTTCCTCCGGGTCTCCATAGACGCGACAGGGTGGGGTGACCACCGCAGGCCTCCCCAGTGTGGCGACCAAGCTAGAGATGCGGGCTTAGCGCTCCAGCCTTTCCAGCTACGGCGGGGGAGTGGGCTGGGTCTCCTTCCAATGAGAAGGACCTTCCTGGAAGAAAATGGGTGCAGGGAGCTGGGCGGGTGTCTGCGACCTTGCTCTCTTCGGAGGGATGGTTCTCCCAGGAAGTTCGTGTCCCCCTCCCCACCCCCCGGCTTTGGATGGTCTCAACAGCAGGGCTTTCTTAAGAAAATGCTTGTCATGGCAACAGCTCCAGCCAACTCGGGCCAGACTCGGGCTCCCCAGCTTTCCCCTAGCAATGCGGGAGGAGAAAGGGGCGGAGCCTGGCCGGGCGGGGGCGGGGCTTGGCGCGCGGCCAGGCCATTACTCCACTGTTAAGGTGGCCCGACAGCTCCGCGCGGCGGCTGCTTGCTGGTGCGTCTTAAGGGGGAATGGGGAAAGGCAGGGGCGGGAATCGGCTGCTCTCAGGTCTCCTTCCTGCGCTGGCTCTCACTTGTTGAAAGGGGTGCAGAGCCGGGGTGGGGTGGGTCGAGGTGGGAGTGGATGTGGGCGGCGGTATTCAACCGTTGCTGCTAGGAGGGGAAATAAAGGAAGCGTCTGCAAGCGGTTGGCTTCCTGCAGTTCCTACCGGTCTCTCAACCTCATACTCAGACCCAGGACCCAGAAACCCAAAGGAGTCTGCGGACACTTGTGCGTCCTCTGTCTCCGCCCGCCCTCCTGCCCCTGTCTGAATCGGGGTTCGCTCTGGATGCTCACGCTCGTCACTCCTCCTCACCCCCACTTCACACACAGGTCACATTTTGCCCCCTCCTGTCCCTGTGCCCACCGAGGCACACTCACAGTGCCGAGAATGGCTTCCTGCTAGCGAGTCCTATGTGTGACTACGCTTCACCGCCTTTGCGTCTACAGTATCATTTCTAATCCTCAGGACAGTCTTGAAAGGTACTTGCTATTAGCCTAATTTCATAGTGGAGGAAATTGAGGGTTGAGTGTCTCGCCCAAGGTTACACATCTAGTTAATGACAGCCAGGATTAAAGGCCAAGTCAGACCCAGTCCAAAGCCTGTATCAAAGCCTTCTATCAGACTGCAGCACACGTTTCCATTTTAATTTGCACACACTCAGACATCCCTGCACACTTGTGCACAGTTTATAAACTGTTAATCACACCCCCGCACCTACACACCCACCAGCATTGTGCAACAACAGTGCTACCAATAGATTTTGCATGGAACCTTATGGCTTTCAAGTACAAACATGCACGTCAGATGGCTCACAACGAGGACATATCTCCATTGACTGATACATTCCACACCTACTTCAGCAAACACACTCACTTATGTTTATATGCTGAGAGAAGGCAGGCTAACGTAAGCTCACAGATTAGAGTAGTAAACTATGCTGTGAAGAAGGTGACCAGCCAGGGACTTCCTGACCTTTTCATAAGGGCTTTGGAAAGGCCTCTTTGATCTTATCCTAACTCCACACCTGTCCTCTTTGGCCCCTCCGGAGCAATGTGGATAGGGAGAAACAGCTGTTTCATACCCTTTCTGTCCTTTCTTCTTTTCATTTCCCTGTTCTCATCCACATCCTCCTCCCCCAGCCCTTCTTTTTTGCAGTAATGGGGTTTGAACTCAGGGCCTCACGCTTCCTAGGCAGGTGCTCTACCACTTGAACCACTCCACCAGCCCTTTTTTTGTTTTTTTTTTGTCATGTTGGGTATTTTTGAGATAGGGTCTTGCTTTTTTCCCTGGCTGCCCTTGAACCACAATTCTCCTGGTCTCTGCCTCTTGAGTAGATAGGATTACAGGTGTGAGCCACTGGCTCCCAGCTCACATCCTATTTCTGAACTCAGGAAAGTTAAACAGACAAAAGTAAAAAGACTATTTTGGAATAGGTGGGCTGGGCTCAGAGCTCAGAGTTCCTCAGTGTGTGTGGTAGAAACTGCCTGCCACCATCTATCTTGGGAACTGAATCCAAAATAAGCCCCTACCAGTGCTGGTGCCTCTCCTCCCTAGCCCAGCCCAGCCAAAGGCAGGTTGCAGGGGTGAGGACAAGATTTTTAAGGTTACCCTCTATGGAAACCATCTTGGATTATTTTCCAAGCAGTGTTTTCTGCTTTGGAGGTCTCAGCCTCCAAGCACTTAAGAGGATACCACAGGTGACATTTGTTCTCATTTGTTCTGGACTCCTGTAATTCCTCTAGTCCCTCTCACCTCCTTAGGGGATTTTATTGAAAGATAGATGGCACCTCACCTTGTTAGACTCTGGTAAGTCCTACCAAAATGTCAACTTGAGGAATTCAATTCAATTGTTGGGGAAGACATGGGAAAGAAAGGGAGAACAGTCAGCTGAACAGAGCTTCAGATTTCACGGCTTGTCAGGCTCCCTGTTGGATGGCAGCAGCCTGACATTTTAGAGCACAGTGAGTGTCAGTTGCATCTTTATCAGGAGAAAGCCAATCTCTAAAATGATTCTTTAAATGTATAAAAGTATATTTTAAACTTGTCTGCAGTGGTGGTTAGTGGAGTCATTGCCTAACTGTTCAGTAAATGTGTCTTGGGGACTAACAATTTAGGCCAGATGAGTGGTCCCATTAAAGAAGAGGACTGCTTGGGCTGCTGGTCCTGGGAGGGCTAGAAATGGTCCCTATTCCTAGCTGATTATTATCTGAAAGGCAAGATCCTCTCACACTCCTGGGTTCCAGGGAGAAGGCTGTGCAGGGGAGGGCTGAGTTTGAAAGAGGCTCTGAAGGCTGATCCACCTGGGACTACGTGGGATCCACAGGTAAGCAGGATTATATCTATGGTGGCTACAGGTTCTCCCATCTCTCAGATCAGTGATCCCCCTACAGCTGGCTGGGGGCTTGTGGGATGAGAGAAGACTCCTCCCAGTCATTTATACCCTCTGCCCCCTATAGACAGGAGAAAGGGATATGAAAGGTACCTGCAGAGGGGACCACAACCTGAGCTCTGTAGCTGAGCCAACCATTGCAGTCTGTGTTTTCTGGAAACCTGGAAGCCTTGGTGCCTTGTTTTTTTCCAGCAGCAGGTTTGAGGTCCAGAATGGGTAAAAATAAATCTATCCATAAAAATAACCATTAGATATGGGAAAATGGAGTTGCCCCTTTGGGGCAAGAGGGAGGGCCCTGCCTCTGGACATTCACAGTCAGGCTGTTCTCATGTTGAAAAGGATACAGTCAGCACTCTCTCTTCCTTGGGTGTTTGACAGAATATGTTCCTCTGCCTCTTGAGAGCTCTGCCTGGGTCCCCCAGCCATGCTTACCCTTTCTCTGCACTTTCCTTGAATGCAGACAGCACCACTCCTATTTGGGTATCTACACCAACCATCCTCCCATGCCCAGACCCAGCATTTTTCAAGACGCTCTTTCTCCTCATTGTTAAGATGGGAACTGTTAGCTAGGCCCTGGTAGCTCACATCAGTAATCCTAGCTACTTGAGAGGATGAGATCAGGAGCTTCATTTTTGGTTTGAGGCCAGCCCAGGCAAATGGTTCGTAAGATCTCATCTCCAAAATAACCAGAGCAAAAGGACTGGAGGTGTAGCTCAAGCAGTAGAGCACCTGCTTTGCAAGCATGAAGTCCCACCAAAAAAAAAGGAAAAAAACATGGGAACTGTTACTGTATTAGAGGTCCTGCCCCCATGTGTCCCAAGCCCAGCCAATCCTTTCCAGAGATTTTTGAATTTAAGATCAGAGAGAGAGAGAATAAGGCTCAGCTCAACAGTGAACACAGCGAATGGCGAGGCTCTGGTCATAAGAGGAACCATGTTTCCTGCCATGTGGAAGAAGCTGACCAATAGGAAAGAATAAGACCACAAGCAGAGAGAGGCAGAGATGGAAGGTGAATAGTGAGTGCTGGCAGCAATTGAGTCAGTGGCATCTTTCCTCCAGATGAGTTTCATGACTCATCACCCACGCATATGCTAGAGGAAACTGGGGTTTTTAGGTCACTTGTACTAAGCAATATAGAACTACAATGTAGACAGTAATATAGAAACCCTTTGAGCTGGTACCTATAGATAGACTCATTTCAGTGCATTTATTCACTCAACAAGTACTACTGAACACTTGCTACTCAATTCAGTGTACGTTTACTGTTTCAACATCCACTGGACTCAGATGAGGTATTCAAAGACATTGTTTTGTAGGGATGGGGAATGTATGCTCATAGTATAGCTCATTACAATAGAAGGTGCTATCATGCCTAGCAAGTGTGTAATCCCAGCCACTCAGTAGATAGAGGTAGGAGGATTGTGGTTCAAGGCCAACCCAGGGCAAAAGTAGGAGACCGTATCTGAAAAAAAAAAACAACAAAAACCTAAAAGCAAAAAGTTCAATCCCCAGGGCTGGCAAAAGGAAAAAGTGCTATTTCTTATTTGCTTGTTTGAGACAGGGTCTCTCTGTGTAGCCCAGACTAGCCTGGAATTCTTTTTATTTATTTATATTTATTTTATTGTTTTATTTTTCATATGTGCATACAAGGCTTGGGTCATTTCTCCCCCCTGCCCCCACCCCCTCCCTAGCCTGGAATTCTTAATCTTCCTGCCTCAGCCTCTTCTCTCTTCTCCCTCCTTACCCCCCACCCCAACCTGAAGTGCTGGAATTACAGATGTGTACCACCAGGCACGACTGTAGTTATTCTTTTAAGTCTATTTTTTGAGTGCTTAGTATTGCTAGGTAATATAAGTTAAAAGATAAAACGTGGAAATACTTCTATGGAAATTCCAGGGAGTGTCTGCTCCTGACAACAATACTAGAAGGCTCTAGGAAGGTGAGAGTGTTTGAAAGGCCTTAAAGAGTAAACTTTAACTGTTTGGGATGAGGATGGGATAGGGTGGAACAGTCAGGGCAATGACATGGGCAAAGGTCCTGAGGTGGAGAAATGGAGAATAAAGCCCAGGGAGATGGTTTGGGGCTGGTCCAGGAAGAGCCCTGAGTAGCAGCTACAGGTTGTAGGACAGATTGGAAACCAGGAAATGGTGGGCAGGGATAATCTAGGCTCAGTGTAATACAGAGAAACTTTATACAACAGTTATTTGTGTTAGATAAAAATTATAAGGGCTGAGAACATGGCTCAAGTTGTAGAACACCTGCATCAAAAGCCCCACACCTTCAGTTCAAATCCCCCTACTACCAAAAAAAAAGAAAAAAGAATTCACTTGGGCTAGCAGGGTAGCTCAAGTGGTAGAACACCTACTGAGTTCAACCACCAGTATTGACCACCCCCAAAAAAGAACAACAAAAAATTATAGGAGGCCATTGTTTTGGACTAATGCTCCTGCACTGA